GGGGGGGGGCCCCCAGCTGGGAGTTACCTGCTTATACTTGCGGTAACATCGCTGGATCACAGCCGCTGCCGTCTCCTGTTGCTCCTTCAGCCGGCGGCCCTGGGGGGAGAGGGGAGTGAGGGGGGGCAGGTCCCTGGCACCCGGGGACGGTGGGATGGGGGGAGAGGGCTATCCTGTTGCTGGGCAGGGTGGTAAGGTGGGTGATGCTTGTTGCCATGGGGAATTCCCTGTTGCCAGGGGACAGTACAAGAGACATGGGGATGCCTGTTGCCATGAGGACTGTACATGGAGATGCCTGTTGCCATGGGGAATTCCCAGTTGCTAGGGGACCATACATGGAGATGGCTCTTGCCATGGGGAATTCCCAGTTGCCGGGGAACCGGGCAGCAGCCTGGGGAAAAGTGCAGAATTCCCATAGGCAGAGGAGGATGGAGGGAGAGGGCGGACGCCCGTCGCCGGGGGGTACCTTGTACTTGCGGAAGGCGGTCTGGATGACGCGGGCGGCCTCGTAGAGCTCCCGCTGCTCATGGTCGGACAGTGTCAGCAGCGCGAACTCGCTCTCCATCTTCCCGTTGGCCGAGGCGTTGAGGAACTCGGCCCAGCTGGCGGCCGTGGGGGGCGGGGGCAGCCGGTCGAAGGGCAGCTCACCCAGCGGGGCCTGCAGGGGGCTGAGACACACCCGGGACGAGGACATCGGCCTGGGGGAGGCAGGGGGGCCATGAGACAGACCCCAGCCACCCTGGCGCCCCCTAGAGGGGACAGGCCCCTGCCCCATTCCCTGCCCCCCTGAGCCAGCCAGTCCCCGCCCTGGGGCCGGGTTACCTGGCGCCCCCTAGAGGGGATAGGCCCCTGCCCCATTCCCTGCCCCCCTGAGCCAGCCAGTCCCCGCCCTGGGGCCGGGGGGGAGCCGGCACCCCCTACAGGGGCAGGCCCCTGCCCCCTTCCCCGCCCCCGTGAGCCGGCCAGGCCGGTACCTGTGCTGGGAGCCGCTAGGCAGCTGGTCCACGTTCTCCAGGTAGCCGGCCAGCCAGGACATGGTCTCGCTTAGGCCCATGTTCCCGCTTCGCTCCCGCAGCGGCACCTCGGCCGCGGAGCTGAAACCCTCCTGCTTGATGTGCTCCGGCGTCGCCTCGATGATCTGCTTCGCCAGCGTGATCATGTCCACCTGCGGGGGGGGGAAGCCCGGACACCTGGGTTCTCTCCCCAGCTCTGGGAGGGGAGTGGGGGCTGGTGGGTCAGAGCAGGGGGGGCTGGGAACCAGGACTCCTGGGTTCTCTCCCTGGGCTCTACCACTGCTAGTGACTTGGGGCCAGTCAATTTGCCTCTGTTTCTTTCTTTACCATAGGGAGAAGGAGTGGCCCCCCAATAACAGCCCATCCCCCCGCATAGTCCCCAAGCCTTTCACCCCCACCCCCCAGCCATCCCGTCCGCCAGCCCCCCGGTACCTGGAGCACGTCAGGGGCCGGCAGGTACCCCTCGTTCTCCGCGTTCTCCCCGTAAGCCAGCAGCTCCGGTTCGGGGGGGCCCTCATAGTCCATGAAGAAGGGGGGGGAGCAGCGCATGCCGGGCGGGCTGGGGGGGGCTGGCAGGTTCCAGCCCTCGGGGGGCGGGCCGAAGTCCATGGCGGCCTCGAGTTCGGGGCTGCCAGCGGGCGAGTCGCGCAGGGCTGAGGCGCTGGAGTAGGCCGAGGTGACGGAGCCGGAGCCGTCCGACAGCTCCGAGGGCGAGGAGACGCTGCTCACCGTGCTGAGCCCTGGGGCGAGGGACGGGGGGGGGGTCAGCGAGCGGGGGGAAACCAGCCCCCTCCCCCCCCGCCCTCGGAGGCAGCGCGGTACCTGTGTCGGGGCTGGCGGAGAGCGGGGAGGGGATGCGCAGACCCTCGGCTGGGCAGGGCGGCCCCCAGCCCTTGTCCCCGGCGCCCCCAGGGGTCGGCTCCTGACATTGCAGCTCCTCCAGGCAGGCGGCGAGGGCCACGTGGCCCCGGGAGCGGGCCACGGCCAGGGGCAGCCGGCCCAGCGAGTCCGGGATGGAGAGGGCTCGGCCGTCCCAGCGGTACAGCAGCAGGGCCGCGTCCAGGTGGCCCAGGGCGCAGGCCCACATCTGGGGGGGGAAGAGAGCAGAGTGCTAGGGGGCGCTGTGGGGCAGGGAGCAGGGCAGGGGCTCAACGGGGGGCGCTCTCCCCTGGCAGGCAGGGCTTGCCCCAGGGGGCGCTGTGGGGCAGGGGGCTCAGCAGGGGGTGCTCTCCCCCGGCAGGCGGGGCTAGGGGCGCTGTGGGGCAGGGGGGTCACCCATCCCACCCTTGAGACTGCATCTCTGGGATCCCTCCCCTCGGGGCCTGTCCCCCCAAATCCTCCCCTCACCAAGGGGGTGCAGGAAAAGTGGTCGACGTTCAGGGGGTCGACTTCCTGCTCCAGATCGAGGCTCTCGGCACGGAGGTTCCTGCAGAGAAATCCCAAGCGTTAGGGGGCGGAGAATGGGTCGGGGCTCCACCCCCCCCCACATCAGCCTGGGTAACTCACCGCCACTTGATGAGCGTCTCGATGAGCCGGGCATAGCCCTGGGCGGCTGCCAGGTGCAACAGGGTCATGCCCCGGAAGCTGATGTCATGGATCAGGGTGTCGGAGTGGAGCCAGGAGGAGCGAGACATCATCTTCTCGCACAGGGCCACGATGCGCTCCTCGAAGGAGTCCGACGCGGCCTGTGGGGAGAGCGCAGGGTCCCTGGAACCGGCCGCCCCGCCCCAGAGGTGGCCGCATCTCAGCACCGGGCGAGGGGTCCCCGGGTAACCGGCAGCCCCGCCCCAGAGGTGGGCGCGTCTCAGCCCCGGGTGAGGGGTCCCTGGAACCGGCCGCCCCGCACCAGAGGTGGGCACATCTCAGGGGCGGGCAAGGGGTCCCCGGGTAACCAGCCACCCCGCCCCAGAGGTGGGCACATCTCAGCGCCGGGCGAAGGGTCTCTATGGCCATCTGCCACACACACCCCCCACGAGCCACTTGTGGCCCCCCCGTCTCGATTTTCCCCTCGCTCAGGCTGGAAAGAATGCCTGGCCTGTCCTGGCCCGGCGGGCTGGAAAATGCCTCTGTAATCCCCCCGCCCCGGAGCGAGCCGAGCCCGCGACACCCGAGCCGCCACCGCCCTCGGGACGGGGCCCCAAAATAGCAACACAGATAAAGGCTTAAGGGGGGAGTGACGTCAGGCTGGGCAGAGCGGGGGGAGGGGGGGCAAGGGCTGATGGGAGATGGTGGAGGCCAAGCAGGACCCTGGGGACATGTGGGGGTGAGTGTAGGGAGGGTGCAGGGGGACCTGGCTCCCAGCCCCCCCTGCTCTAACCCCCCAGCCC